CGCGCTGCTCTTCCCCTCGGGGCAGGAGGAACCCAAGGCCGGTGGCTGGAGCACAGGCAGGGCTGGTTTCGCACCCTCGGGGACACCGAGCTGCTGGGCCTCCACCAGGCGCAGGGTAAACCCAGACCAGCCCCTCGTCCTCTTCCTCAAGAGCCTCGAGCTCAGGGCAGAAGAGATGAAAAATTAGGCATTACACGTCACCCCTTCGCTCGCTGATGGGCTGGGCTTCATCTCCCTGCCCTGCCTGTAGGCAAGCATCCCCCAATACCCTAATTTGCCTTTTTTTTTTTCCTTTATTCTTCACCATTTATTTTCCGGGGGGGGGGGGCTTGTCAACGGCGGCTCCAGCCCTTCCCCACGCCTCCCAGCGCTGCGGGTTCGGAAGCACGAACAGGCTCCACGCTAACCAGTTCCAGAAAGTCCGACCGTTTATGATGAAGCCGAGGTGGGAAGGGTTTGAGCAAAGTGGGATGGAGAGCCGGGGAGATGAGGTGCAGAGCACAGCCCCATCCTGGGAGGGAGCGAAGGGGAATGGGAAGGGGAGGCGGGGAGCGCGGGGAAGCCCGTTCAACGAGGGCTTATCATCCGAGCTATGTACGTCGCTCCAAACGCCTCCATTTATTAAAAGTATTAAGCCACGTTACTGTTTGCCTTTGGTCTCCTAATTTGGCTGCTGATGTCTACGGCAACTGTTGAAATTAATATTCTTAGATAATTACTTAACGACTCTCGGCGCTCACTGCCCTTAGCTCTCAGTTGACAAAGGATCTCACCCACCGCACGCAAGCGGCTGGGATACCGGCTGGGATTTTAAAACGGTTGCTAAATTATAGTTTGCAAATATTTTACAGTTACATCTCACGCTTCATCTTGAAGGATCTCGGTGTGTTTGAAATGTTGCGTAACATTCATTCTTTAGTAAAATTCCATCACAAAAACTTTCTGGGCATCAATCTTCTCACTTCCCTGCATGCCTTGGAATTAAAATCAAATTTAGCTGTATTATTATGCAAACACAAAATCATGCGTGCATTAAAAGATTATTATTAGGGCTGCAAAGTCAGACATTTAAAAGATAGGAAATGCCGGAGCCGTAACGCTGCGCAATATAAATCCCAGTTTCCATACCTATGTACTCTCATAGTCTTTAATCTCCTGATCATGTCTTTTCCCAATACTCACCCGCTCCCTCAGGGGGACTTATCACTCCTTGTTAGCGTTCAAGAAAAAAACAGGACAAGAGAAAAGAAGGTTCAAGAAAAAGAAGGTTCAAGCGTGGGCACGGTGCGGTAAGCGGGGACCGGGACACGCCGTGACCACCTGGAGCAGCCGCTGGTGCTCCGCAAGCTGGCGGAGGGAGGCAGGGACGCGACGGGAGAACAGCAAGGGCTTTCCTGAGCCAAAAGAGCCGCACCCAAGGCTTTCCAGGCAGCCTCCATTCCGGCTGCTCGCCGTTTGGTGCGCTCACGGGGACTCTGCCCTCCTTCTTACGCGAGGACGGTTTCCCGAGGATCAAGGCAAAGCCAGAGCGCCCAACTCCTTTTCCGATTGTTTTACCTACATTTCCTGGTTTTATTTTCAGAGAAAGAATAGGGGAAAAAAAGGAAAAAGACTGAGTAGCGAGGATTAAAAGATGTCAAGACTTCCCGCAGCAGCTGCCACATGGGGAGGTTCCCCTCCATCCCATGACGAGTGCTGACTTCCCCCTCTACCCCCCCATATCCCCAACAAGCCTACGCAGCTTGATCCTGTCCTTTTTGGTACTTCTTAGTGTTGACAAAAAGTTCCAAGGAATACCTACAGGATAGAAACGCAGCTGAGGGACGGGCCGGTGAGGAGGTTAGGTCCCCAAAACCAGGGTGACATCAGTGTCTGTGACCTGAATCTCCCTCCCACGACAGGGAACAGACTCACCCAGCGGCCCACACCCAGTCCCCACGCGCACACCGCCACGCGTTGTCCTACTTGCTTAAAAGCCCAAGCTCTCCCGCGCTCGGATCTTTGCCAAACCTCCCTCTCTCCACCGCATCCCCGCCCTTCCCAGGCTGCAGATCCTCCTTCCCAAATCCCCATCTTCTCTCAGCGTGTCCTCGCTCACGCCCCAAAGCATTCCTACCTCCCACACTCGGTGCGTTCCTCAGCTAACAGGAGCATCGCCAGGAAAGACCTGCAAAGAAAAGCTCTCCCAGGATGGCCAACCTCAAAAAAAAAAAATCAAACCTCCAAGCACACGGGAAGCTCCTTTTAAAGTTGCGCAGAAGGTAAATTAGGGTGACTTGCTACAGCGACAGCCTGGCCAACCACCTCAACTTCCCTCTGGAATGCCAAAGCTGTCAAGAACAAAAAAAAAAAAAAACAATGGGCAAAAAAGTCCTTAGCTCACCCCAAAACCTGCTGGCTTTTAAAATTTGTAGAACTACAAGAGCCAGCCTGACGCAGAAAGGTTCCCAAGTCATTTTTAGACCAGAAAGCTTAAGAGGAACCACGTGACCACGCAATAAACTTAAGGGCAAAAGAAATGCAGAATCCAGTGGTAATTACCCAGGCCCCCGGCCTCCGTGAATCGAGGATGCAGTCAGCTACGGCCTCGTAGCACTTCGCACGCGACTTCTTCTCTACCCCTTCGCAACAAGTTCTTACACGCCGGTATCACCAAACCCACCCTCAAGGCAGGTTATTTTTTTTCAGCGGAGGGTTACGACTGCAAGAGCACGGAGCCACCAGCCTCCCCCAGCCCCAGGCTTCTGTGCAGAAAGCAGCAGATTCCAACCCAAGACCACTTTCTTGAGACAAAAGACGCTTTTCTGCCTCCGCAGCTTCCTCCCGCTGCGAGCCAGGGCTGGGGCAGCGCTGCTTTAGCCGGGTTTCGGAACGGAAAGCTGCCCCCAGCCCAAGAGTGCACCAGGCAGCGCCGTAACGCTTCAGTTGTCTTCTCTGCGTCAGTCTCATCACTCAGCTCGCCAGTATTGGCGTGTCCACACCAGCAGCAAGCCCAGGACTGCGCTGAACCTACTTCTTTCTACTCCCAGCACCAACCTGGGGACGTTCCCCTTGCTACCTGCCACTCACCCCAGACTTCTCACTTCTTACTGGTCAACATAAGAACTCCGGGACTTGGTGTTCTACCAAGCTGGGCTGCCTGAGCTGCACCTTTCAACCACAAGCCACTTGCTGGAGCACAGGGCAAGGCTGCTTGAGAGGCCCCCCCAGGCAGAACAGACCTGGACAGACTGAAGGACGGCGTCCAACACCATCTCCTTTTGCAGAACCGTTCCGATGGCAAGGGAAGCTTTAAAGAGCTTGCAGGAAGCAGTATGGGTCACATACTCTTGCCTCCACCCTAAATCTAGCACCACTTAAATCATGGGGGGAGGGGGAAGCTTCTTAGTATTTTCCATTAATAACTGTATTTACTTGACAAGGTTAAAGCATTTAATACCATTGCTGCGTGTCCATCTTTATTCTGAAAGCTCACTTTAACAATTTTGCTCTGCTGCTTGACAGCGAGCTGCTGAAAAAGCAAGCAGCTAATTCCATGAGTCCCTAGCTCGGTTTGCCCCTATATTTAACAACAAAAAAAAGTCGAATTTTTAGCTTGCAATCACCATATCTCTGCGAACACCGGCTTTAACAGCTCCGTTGGGGGGGACTCAGGGAATGGCTGATAGGTTTGGTCATTTCCACCTTCCGTTTCCTCGTTCAGAGTTATCGAATCCAGCCACCACTGCCGCAGCTCCCTGGCAACTATTTGTGGGAATCCACAAAACGAGCTGGAGGTTTGACTCCCGCTCTCAGCAGGCGCGTTCGGGCGCCACAGCCCAACTGCTGGAACTGGCAAACTGGAGGCAATTTCAGCAGCGATGCCTGGGCTTAAATAAGCACAAGGCTCCTTTCACCTCCAGAAGTTTCCTCTTAATGAGGCTTGAGAAACGACAGGTCAGGAGTGGAGAGTTTGGATTTCTGCTGTCACAAGATGCACTTTAAAGTGGGTTTTACCTTTCGAGTCTATCCAACTGGCACCCACATGCAATTACTCACAAAAACAAAGCAAATCATTATGGAACAAAATCTTGAGGCAAAATAAGCGTTATCAAGACTCTTTCCTACCTCTGCCGCACTTTAATTGGAACAGAGGAGCATTTTATTTCTTTCTGACATCGCCACATCCCCCGTGACAGTGAGGTTCCCCGGCCTTCGCTCCGTAATGCTCAGTGAGGTCCCCAGGAGCGGAGCTGCCGCCACGCCAGCAGCCACCGACAGATCGCTAGTCACACTCTAGGCAAGTCCATGACCTGTCCCACAAGGCATTTCAGAACTGAAATACAAGTTGCCAGGTTAGAGGCTGAACGTATGACTAGGCTAAGATTAAAAACTTTATTTTTTTTATACAAAACAATAATAAATCCAAGCAAATAACGAACTAAGAGAGTCTTCTCATTTTCCACCTTCTCATCTCAATATAGTCTATCCACAGTTCAGTGTCAAGCCACTCCACAGCCAGCAAGAACTATGAGGTTTCCATCTTGTATCCGTGCTTTTCTAATTCAGCTCTGTATAGAAAAAAAAGAGAGGTATATTAAAACATACAAATAAATATTGTGCAGACATCCACGCTTTTACAAACTAAAGGTACTGCCCAATACACAGTCGTTTCAGAAATGACATGAACACGTCACATGGCTTTTTGGTTCATAACCTCGACCTCACCTACTCGAGTTCTCCAACTTCAGCTTAACGCCCTGGATCACCAGACGTGACTTCTAAGTGACAAATTCAAGTACTTGTTCTAATCAGAGCCCCCAGACCCACCGTGGCTGGAGAACAACTATATGGCACAGAGCAGCACCCGTGAGCCTGCAACAACTCCAGACACGTTAGAAAAAACCAGAATACCATCTTACACCAGTTATCCTCCAGAGTTCCTGAAACCAAATGAGCTCACTAATCTGAGCCATTTAAATGCAGGTACCTCCAAAATAACTTCAGTTTTCCTTTGTTTTACAAAACCAGACTGCACCATGTTTAAACCTCGGTGCCACGCACCTTCCAGCGCACAATCCCGAGGGAACGGGATTCCTTTGCCCCCCTTCGTTGTGCCAGGACAGCAAGTCAGCAACCCCAAACGTTACCGCTCCTGCCCCGTCCCCACTTTGCTTCTCACCTGCCTCCCAGCACGCCAGCCAGAACTAACTCGGGTTTAGCTCCCAGCCTTAGCGTACGTGTACGCAGACACAGTTGTCCAAGACTTGAAAAATATTTTGGGTTAGTTTACAGACTCAGCAGTCTCATTTTAGGAGTGGAGGACTGCAGCGTTTTCGTTGTAAAGGGGAGACCAACACATGCTGCAAGCAGCCAGCAGCACGAGCCACCACTGTAACGCCCGAACACGGCCACCGACGCTGCAGGCTGCGGCTAAGGCACGGTTACCGAAGGTTTGTCACCATCATCTTGAACCGTGCTGTCCCTTGAGAGGCCCTTTCACTGCATCTCAACTTCTTTTCCAGCATCACAGTTTAACTGCCTGCTGATCTGGTAAGAACTAGACCAACAGACTATTTGTTTGCTGTCTTCTACAGAAAGGATCGCTTTCACCTAAGAACAGCAAGGGAGATCAGCCCAGGAACTGTTCGACCAGGCTGTATGACAGACAGTTTGCTCCTCATGCGACGCACTGAGGGACTATAAAATGTGACTTTGTATTGATGCTTGAAACAATTTAAGTTATAATTATGCGTCGGTAAAGGATTAGCTGAAAGTACAAGTGACAAAGAGGATTAAACAACTGGATTAGAGGTACCAAATCGCTACGGCTTTTTTAAAGCAGAGCAGAAGAGAGACTCGCGGTTCCCTTGCCACTGATCTTCGCAGTACAACCCAGATTTCCCACACATAGGCAGGAAAGTCCTCCCAAAAGGGTTTATCCACGTTAAATCGGAAAAGTGCCAACTGTACCACAATTTGCAGAGATCTCTGTACTGCTCAAGGTGCGTAGCGCAGCAAAAGCCTGGACGCGTCAACGCCGTCAGGCATGTTTCAGGGCTCACAGTACGATTATTAAAAGATGAAGTGCTGATCAGTACTGCCCTGCGCTGTAACCCCTTCAGTCTGGTTCTGAAAAGCTTGAGACAGAAAAGCACAAAGCAGAGCTTTCATTTATTTCAGATCTCTGGTTTTGACAGCGAGCAGACCTCAAACCTTCAGGGATTGACTAAACAATGCTGCTTTAAGCATTTTACCCATCTTCTAGAACAGCAAGTTAAAAATAAAGTTACCTTAACTGATTGGAGAAATCATCTTCTACGTTGTCATCATCCCAATTGTCTTCCCAGACATGCGCATCTTCATCTTCATCTAAACCAGTCCAATCTAAAGACAAAAAAAAAAAAAAGAAGAGATCTAAATATTGTATGCTGCACTGCTTTGGTACCGTGCCTTATTGACAGACGAGCTCAGCCTCTGGGCAAGGCAGAGTTCTGCTGGTAACAAGTGTCTTTAACAGAAAAGCCAGGATCATATTTAAGTGTCCAGGAGACCAGAAAGCACAGAAAGATCTAAAATACACTTCACAATTTCTTGAATTATAATAAAAATGCGACTTGGTTACCAAAAAAAAGATCCTTACGCGTTTCACATCGTGGCTTGCAGGACGACACATCCGTAAGAGGGACAAGCAGGGGCACCAGCGTAAAAAGAACTCAGTATGGAGTACTTGACCCCTACAAGCTCAGCAAAAGGTGCGCAATTCCAGCTTTCCATTTAAATACAGCTCCTCCGCTCCCTCAGCTCAGATGCAGACGGTCTGTCTGCCCAGAGCGCACCTGCTGTGCAGAGCCACCTGCAAACAGCAGTGGCTGCCCGTAAGCAGCTCCTCCTGGGTTCCCAAAACAGCAGAAGCCGCTTCCTTACAGAGGCAAGACACTAAATGTCCCCTTGCTAACCCCATTTCTGGTTTTCCTATAACAATCTGGCACACCTCCCTTGGCAAATTACTGACCCCCACTTCATGTTTCATTATAAAAAAAAAAAAAATTAAGCTGAAACTAACCAGCTAGTTTCAAAAGACAACAAAAATGAAGACTCAGGCAGGCTCCGAATCGCACTGTCCACACCAGCCAGCTCACTCCCCCGGGGGACACAGCGCCTCATTTTCTTCTACTGACCGACACCGAGTTTTCCTGATGTTACCAAAGTCAGCAGCACCCGATTTTGACGCCTGTGACCTCATACCTCTCAAAGTCTATCAGAGTATTTACAGAGCTAACACCAATCTTGCTCTTACAAGCCATCTGCTGCCCGCCCACCCACAGCACGCGCTGAGGACCAAGGCCAAAAGTGACACTACAAAGAAGGATGAAAACCAGCTATTAGGGTAAAAGAAAAACACCCAACTCATTGTGAACAACGAACTTTGTAAGGATGAAGGTTGGTCCTTGCATTTTCTCCTCCTTCTTCTAACACCTACAGGTAACAAAATTAATATTTGAGATTAGCCAGGACAGGAAAACCCATTTGTAAGTGAATGAAGGCACACACATAGAAGGCACCACAACTAAACTGCTCAAATAATTATATAATGGGAAGAGATGAAGGAATACAGAAAGCCTACTGGTCCTAAAGATAGCATGAGAAGGAACTGGGAAGAAAAAATGCAGTATATATATAAAAAAAACCCCATTATTTTAATTTAGTTGTACTGCTGGTTGGTCAAAGAGAAGGATTTTATTTCAGTACTAGCTGCAATAAGCTTTGCCTATTTACACAATGGATTTTTTCTTTTTTGGTGTCAAAATAAAAGCTTTACCACTCCCACCATTTATCTGTATTTCAAAGGTACAAAAAGCAAAGCTCAAAACAGTTGGAAAAGAACATAAACTCACACTTTTCTACCTACTAATGTACCAGTAGCTCAGGCAGATCTCCAAATCTGAGCAAAGTCAGAGCAACTCGCATCCAGCGCAACGAACAGCAGCTTCAGTCATCGAAGCTCATAAAAGCTGGGGACACGGCACAAACGCGCTCCAGGTTTGACCAAGAGCCCACCAAGCCCGTGTCGCCCTCCGCCCCGAGGGCGAGGGAGGGAAAGCAAAGCCCCAACCCTGCTCTCGCCGCTGGAGCTACACGGTGCTGCGGTATCTGTGCCGTGACACTACACCCCGGAGCGGCACGCCCCGGTTGTCACTCCCAGCTACGCTCCTGCCACCAAATAAAAGTGAAAAAATAACATGGCATTATGGGGGATTGCATGTATTAAGAACATTTCAGCGCCTGCTACCACATTACACCACAATTACAGAATTTTATTAAACTTGTCATGGCTGGACCCCCGTTAAAAAAATATTTTAATATCCTGACTGCTTTATTTTGCACTTGGGAAAGGGAAACAAAAACCAGGTTTTAGAGTAGAGGATAAAACCCCTAAAATCCTATCAGTTCACACATTTCATCCTGAAAAGCACGGTACAAAAAGTCTTAAGTGACCAATTCACAGCCACTTGAACCTACCAGGCTGCACTTCAAATAAAGTGTCCTCTAAAAACGGGACACATCCACTTTCGATGCGTCAACTTGATTTGATAAATTATTTGGAGAAAAACTCCAAGTCTGAAAAACAGAAATCCCCCAAAAGCCAGTGTTTTTATCCCTTAATGCAAGTTTGCATTATCCTATTTCCTTTGGATAAAAGCTGGGTAATAGAATGGAAAGGTTTTGTGCTGCCCAGAAAAGTGGTGTTTTAATTTGAAAGATCAATTTGGCCCGGGTTTGAGCACAGAGTTATCATGATCCTTTCCTAAAGCACCAAAGACAACATTCAAAGCGGTCTTCCTGACATCTCAAGACCATCACCTCACTCGCAGATTTAAAGGGGCCTCTTCAGAAGCTCTTATTTTTCACAAGACAGATCAGCAGTTTTTTCGGTCACTCTGACAAATCTCTGTTCTACCCAGAAAGTTTGAGCAGCACTTGGTTTCAGCAGTACTGCTGGCTTCAAGTCGATTTAATTTCACCTTCTGTGACAGCAGCTGAGTGCTCTGAGCACTCTGAGGTTCAGAAGCAGCTTCGAAGTCTCCCTTCACCCCTACTGTGAATACTTAACTTCCATTAAATAAGGTAAACATTTTTTGCCTGCTTAGGAAACACCTATGGAAAAGAAGGCCTAACCTTCTCAGTTTAGTTTAGCTATTATCTCAACTATGTCAACAACTTTTTCTGTCAGTTCAAAAATATTATTTTTACTGGTATCTAAGGTTTGTGAGGCCACAAAAAAAAATAATCACATGTAACGAAGACATTACAGAACAAGAAACCCTGGCATTTCATCCACCATGTTTTATATCCTTTCTTGTTATCCACAGCTTGTGACAACTCCCAGAATTGAGGCCACAGAGAAAACAATCATGCCCTAACAGGGATCTTTTCAAGATTCTAGCTGCAAAAGGACAGAGTTGTTTTACTGAAGCACAGATTTAATCTCCTCATTCAATAAATCCGTACCTATGAAAAGCAAACCAACACAGAAACATTTGTGTAAAGAGGCTCTGGATAACTACAAAGCACGTAATTCCCTTTCCACGGCTTTTTTCCCCCCCCGGCACTCGGTTTCCAGCCCTCAGGCCCCTCTCCCCGGCGGTTCTCCCCTCCAGAGCTCAGGTGCAGCCCGTTCCCCCCGCACCATGACACAGCACTTCGAGGACGATGTGCCCAGCCTCCCGAAACCACAACAGCCGCCCACAGGCGTGCGGCACGGCCGTGCTTGACCCCGCAACCGTAGCCCCGCACCCCTGACCGGGGCCGGGAGGGCAGGAACCCCGCGGGACACCGGGAAGCTGCTTCCCTATCGCTGAGACGGCGCAGGCGGAGATGCCTCACACCCCCAGCCCCGGAGACCCTGACGGCT